GGGCCCCTGGGTTTGTGGGAGAAAAGAGCTGATCAGCAAGGGTGTTACTCTATTGTTATACCAAAACAGGGCACTGGAGCAAACGCTTGTTAAAATGCCAGTCCCATGGGCGGGGCTGGCACCGTGCCCCCTCCCTCCTCAGCAGACACCGGAGCCGGCCTACCCCACCTCTCCAGCGTTCCCACCACTTTCTTGTCCGTTTGCTTCCAGGGTCGTGTATCAGGATGGATTTTATGGTGCTGAGATTTATGTAAGTGCAGCCCTGGGGGAGGGGAGGGTGGGATCCAGCATTCTGTTTGTTTCTGTGAGAAGCCAGTGTCTCCCTCTCACCGTGCCACTCCCGTCCTTGAAGCCAATAGGGTGAGGGCACCGTGTCTGCCCAGGGCATTGCCATGCTGGGGACCCCAGCACAGCCCAGTCTGGTGGGCTGTGCTCATCAAGGGAGCAGCAAATGGCCCGCCCAGCAGCCTATGAGCTGAAGGCGTCTTCTGCGTTGGCAAGGCATTGTTTGATGGGAACAGTGGGAGACTCTCCCACATCCCTGACCTCACAAGGGTCAATGAGTGAGCCCCTGAGGATACCTGTGTCCAGGACAGAGGCCCCGAGAGAGACCAGGAGGCAGGGCGCCAGGGTGCCTGTGCTTCTTGATGGGGTCCTGTCACTTCCCCCTTTTATGGGGCTGAACATACTGGCTGGGAGCCCTCACTTACGGCCCCATCCCACGTTCCCAGCTGCGCTTCTGTCCTGGGTAGTTGCCCATCATTCAGCTATCTGCTCCTCTAAGGCCAGTGTGTCATCTGAGTTCATGTCCTCTTGGGCCATTTCTCCTTGACCCCTCCTGGTGTCCAGGATAGCATCCATAGTCAATCCCGGGCTCTCTAAGCCCATCCAAGTCAGGTGTCCCTGGCCTAATGGGAGGTCTGTGGGTACCTACTGTGTGCCAAGACCTATCACACAGCCAAATGTGTAATCGGTGCCTGCTAGTGTGTATAGCATATACAGATGTATGTATGAACAAATGAATGAATGAATGAACAGACAGCTCTGCCTCACTGACCTCTGTAGGTCTCAAACACCATTAGACTAAAAGCTAGGTACACTCAGGCCGGGCACCAGCTAGCTAAGGCCGGGAGACTGGCAGGGTCTGCAGTCCCTCCCAAGGCAGACACCCACAGGGTCTGTGTCTGCCCCAGCTTGGCCTTTTCCTGAGTGAGCCCCACTAAGTCCATCTGCCGTCTCTCCTCCCACTTACCTGCAGGGAGGCTATGCAGCCTACAGATACGCTCAGCCTGCGGCGGCAGCGGCAGCAGCCTACAGCGACAGGTAAGGCCGGGGACTGCTCTGGGCAGGGTAGGGAGAAGATGGATACGGTCCTTCCAGGGTTGGGCCCAGACAGACAGGAAGCCTAATCCACCAGTCAGGGGCTGGAGGTGCCTGTAGCTGGTGGGCACAGGGTCAAGCCAGGAGAGCAGGTCTGAGTGTGGCTTGGAGGGCCTTGAGCTGCTGGTGAATGGCTGGCTTCCATGCCTGGCTTCCGTCACTTCCTGCTCGCACAGCTGAGGAAGCTGTGGAGACCCCCAGTTATCAGGTGGCAGACAGCATCTCTGATTCCCAGCCCTGGGGGTCTAACACGTTACCGTCAGAGGCCCGTGGTGATCATAGGGAGCTTTAGCTTCTGCCCTAACAACCTGGTCCTTGTCAGTGCCGTCAGGTCTGAAACCCTCCAACTCAGAGTAGGAAAGGCAGATGTGCCCACCTCTGTCCTCTCATGGGATGGGATGAACCAGGCTGGGCAGTGTAGGCCATCTGGGAGCAGCCCGTCCACTGTGAGCTCCCCCAGAAGGCGCCCTGGATGGCTCTCTTTGTGTTGGGAGGCGGGGTATGTGCTCAAGTGCTCCCCTGTGGGGTGGCCTCGCCTACTGCCTTTTCCCTTGAGCGTTGGGCCTGGGGGCCCCTGGCCCTTCCTCCTGGTACTCCCCTCTTCTCCACCTCCTCATCAGGTGTGCGTGGTAGACCAGCCCCATGGCCTAGCCCTGTCCTTAAGGAGCCGAGATTTTCCTGCACAAATGAATAGGGTGAGAGGATGGTCACTGGGGGACACGGTGCCACCTCCTCGTGGGCAAGTCCCTGGTCCCTCCCCACTGGATCGTCCCTCTCCTCTCTCAAAACCCTCCCCAGCACTCTGTGCCTTCTAGGGATGGAAGTGTATCTTCTCGCTAGACAAGTTGTATGAGAACACCTTTCCCCACCACGTAGCACTGAGTAGAACATGTCAGCCATCATCAGGATGTGTGTATGGGTGTATGGGTGTATGGAGAGGGTGGCCTTTGGGTTCCAGAAACTTCCTCCCAGACCGGCAGGAACGACAGGCCGTGTGGGAGAGGGAGGGGGCCTTGTGGATGGGACCCCACTGGAGGATGCCCATTCGGTGTCTGGGAGGAGGAGGAAGGCCTGCTGCCATCCCTCACCTGTCCCCTCCCCCCACCTCTCCCTCCCACTCTCCTTCCCTTGCTCTGTCCTCAGTTATGGCAGAGTCTACGCAGCTGCCGACCCCTACCATCACACCATCGGGCCCGCGGCAACCTACAGCATTGGAACCATGGTAAGGAGGCTGGGCCCTCCCAGCCCTTGGCACCAGAACTGACAGTTGGGCACAGCACTGCAGCCGGGGCGGGCGGTGGGGCCCTTAGGAGAGAATCCGAGCCCCCTGACCAGTGCTTTGGTCCTGGTGACTGTGGAAGGGCCCTGGCCTGGATCTGAGTTGGAGGAAGGCACTTTGAGCAGTCAGCTCACCCTAACATTTGGTCCTCTGGGACGCACCCTAGTGTGCCTGACCTGTTTCTCTGAACCATACCCAAAGTCCCGTTGAGGCACCCTACGTTCCCACCACCAGGAAAACCCAAGAAACCAAACCAAGGCCATCTCTTCTCCCCAGCAGAGGCTCCCTAGGCCCCAGAGCTGTTTCTACAAGTCGGCCTCCCTCCCTCTCCTGCGGGTGTGTCCATGTCACTCCATCACTCCCAGTGCTGCAGGGCTTCTCACATTGGGGAAGGGAGCGAGGGCCATCCCCCGTTTCTCACCAAGCCCCCCATGCTGGACTCCTCACGGCTTCTGGGGAAAGAGTGCCTGCAGTGCCCCAGCCTCACCCCGTGGGCAGTGGGGTGAAGAGGGCAGGACAGGGGCGGGGTGCACCTCTGTGGGCGTGGCTGCCCCAGGTGCCAGCCAGCGTGTCTGTGTGTGTGTGTGTGTATGGCCAGCTGTCGACACTCTGCACCCCAGATCTACTTCCAGGGGACACCTACCTCCTGTGCCCACCCACCCCAACCCCCTGGGGGTGTTTATGTTGGTTTTTAGCTAGCTTGGCATCCAGCATCAAAGATGAAAACATTTTGGGGGAAGTAAGGAGGAGGAGGAGGCGCGGAGGCAGTGTGGATGCTTCCTTCCATCTCCCTTGGTTTTGATGACTCCCTCCCAATTTTTGACTTTTTTGATTCTTAACAGATCTCAGACCTCCCCAGCAGCCTGCAGTGACTGCTGGCAGCCACAGGGCGCAGACCGGGGGGGGGGGGAAACAAGGCAGCCCCTCCCAGAAGGAGCCCCCAATACCATGGCTCGAAGGCCCTCAGTGCAGCTGCTAGCTAAAAGTTTTCATTAATGCACAGAGGGTTCCCTCTTGTGTTTTCACTTTTTTATTTTTGAGATTTTTCTATTTTTCCCCCCAACTTTTCTTCTCTGGCACTTGCCATTTTCTTTTCTGATGAAACTGATGGATGGGTGGGTGGGTGGGCGGGAGGGAGGCTCCCTCTGAGCATTCCCCGACGGGGACAGCCCAGCGGCGTGGGAGACAAGAGCACCCAGAACCCATGTCCCCCCCGTCAGGCCACAGGGCCAGACCCAGGAGGACCCAGTGAGCCCCCAAAGAGGAAGCACCTGGAGCTGTACCTGATACGCGTGCCTTCCCCCATACCCACCAGTGAAGCCAGCCTCGGTGGCCCCAGGCTCTCGAGCACAGACTTGGGAACCCCATAAGGAGGTCCCTGCACCCTCTCCAGGTGTCCTGTGCTGTCCCACCAAGGAGAGGGACACTCACACTCAGACCTCCCTCCGCACAAGGATGGGGAGGGGTCAGTAAAGGGCCAGGCTTGAGCACAGAGAAGTGGCCCAGACGCAACTCAAAGACTTGTGACCCAGAGAGCTGCTGGCGGAAGTCCTGGAGCGCCCCCTGCTGGCCCTGAGACCACCAGCACATCAGAGATAGGCGGAGCCCCTCCTGCTGCCATAACAACCCGCCCCCTTCTCCCCAAGGAATGTAATAAGGGGGAAAGAAAACGGGACTTAGCTATTTCTCTTTTTGTTTTTCCTTGTTTTTTTTTTTTTCCTTTTTGCTTTTTTCCCCCCTCTACCAAAAGGCGGTACTGATTGGCTGTTTTTCATCTTTGATGTTGCAGGCTAGCCTCTGCCGAGGAGGGTACAGCCGCTTCACCCCCTACTAGCAAGAGACCCAGCCCCTAACAGCATTCACACTGACTGCCTAGTCAAACCAAACCCAACAGTCCAAACCAGGCACAGCCACCAGGAAGACAGTGCACCCCTCCCGGTCAGCGACACGCACCGCTGACCCTCCGCGACTCTAAAATCCATAGATTTTTATCTCCAGCCAGCTGGGCTCCCCACCCCACCCGTGATGGCGTGTGTGTCTTTGACCCTGGTTTTTCCTGTATGTCTGAAACCTTGGTTTCCTATATTGACTTTGTTGATGTTGTACTACCCAAGCCATTTCAGGTACGGTATGCACATCGTGGGGGGCCAGGCTGGGGCAGGAGACCAAGGCAGCTCTCCCCTCCGAGACTAGCAATTGCTCCTTTCGAGGGGGTCGCTTACGTTTTCTGGCCACCTGGGCTCCCTAGAGCTCCAGAAATGTCTGGTGGGGCCAACTCTTAAAGCCACCACAGCCAGCCCTATGCCACGGCCCGCTGCTTCCCCAGTGTGCAGGCCCTGATGCAGGGAGGGAGGCCTCAGGCGTCCCATCGTGGTTTCTTCCAGCCCGACAGCACGCCTGTCCATCACCCAGCTAACCACAGGAGCACCCACCTCCTGCTCCTCATCCCCCTCAGCTGAAACCAATGTTTTTAATTAAAATTGTATTGCTGACATGTCCTGCCGAAATAGTCACAAACACGTCACGTGGTGTGCAAACTGCCGTGGTCACACCAGTCTCTGCGACTCCTTAGCACTGCTGCTGTGAGACAGAAAGACACGACCCTGCCTCTCCCGAGGGGGCACCTTAGCACCACCTGGGACAGAGGCCAGGCCATCTTTGCACTGGGTATTTGTCCCAGAGTCACAACCCCGCCCTCCCTGTCCCCAGGCTCCAACATATCTTTATCAGGGTATATTTCAGAAGGGAGGGGGTCCTCAACAGGGAGCAGGTGAGGGGCAAAGAACTGTCCTGGCTCAGGCCTTCCCAGCAAGCACCTGTGTCAGCTCCCTAAGTGAGCCCTGTTCCTGCCAGCCCCGCTGCAGAAAGGCCACTTGCGGGGCACTGTGGCCCTCAGGTCTCACCCTTCTCTGCCCTATGACCCGCCCAGCCTAGAGCATAGAGCTCCTGAGGAGATGCAGGCTGGGACCTGAGATGGAACCCAGCCCCGGGGAGCTGCTGGCCCACCTGGGAGAAGTTGGCACAACAGGCGAGGTTCTTTCCTGGGGCTGGCCCGGGGTCTGCATATCTGCACCTCTGAGACAGGAAAAAGTAGCTTTGGGCTGTCAGTGTGCCACGGCTCGGGGGTAAGGGTTCCCTGCCAGCCAGGGCTGAGGTCTGGCTGCCCGTCAGGCCCTCACTATGGAGGAGGCCCTGGTCCCTCGCCTCCCACTTCCGTCACCATGGTCTGCAGCCGTCTTGGGCCCACGCTGGCCCAGCGATTTCACTACTCCCCACCCGGCCTGGTCCTCCTTCTCTGGCCAGGCCCTGCCCTGATGCAGCTCTCTCCCAGCCCCAGGTGGCTCCTCCCAGCCAGGTCCACTGTGGCTTCCTCCATTCCACTCTCCCAAGCTGCCCAGGCTCCACCCTGGCCCCCATCTGTTTACGCAGAAGTCCACCCACACTCAGCCCTGGAAGACGCAGATCCCAGAACCTGGGGGTCAGGTGTGGGGGTGCCAGGACTTTAGGCCAGGCCCTGTGCCATGCCGTCCTGTCACCCTCACAACATGCCTGTGTCTGCTCCTGAGAAGCTGCAAGTCCTGCCTTTCTGTTTTTGTTGTAGTGAAACCTTCCACCGTTTTCTTCTCGGACCATGAAGGGCAAAAACAAAAAAACAAAAAAAATCACAAAACAAAAAACAAAACAAAAAAAGATGTTAAGATCCAAGCAACAACAATACAAAAAAACAACCAAATCAAGAGGCATCCAACCAAGTCCAAGTCCCGCGTCCTGGCCGCACAACCCGCACCGAGGGAGCACGTCGGCAGGGGGTGCTGTGGAGCGCGGCCCCAGGGACAGGATGGCCCCTACCGCGTCCCTCGCCCCTTCCCAGGCTGGCAGCGCTGTGGGGATGCACCTCCTCCGTCTCACGCAGTGGGGGAGTTAGGGGAGCGGGGGCCTCCCTCGAGTGGTCCGTGGGGGGCTCCGTTTTCTATCCAGTCTTCCTTTCCCGGCCCCCACTCCCAAGGCAGTGTGGGGCCCACCGGTGGAGCAGGCCCTGGGCCTGAGCAGGGAAGAGCTGGCGAGCAGGACTTGACCTTTGATGCCCGCAGTGCCAGTGGAGGGGCCCGCGGGGCGGGGGGTGGGGGGGCGGGTGGCTTTCATCCCAGGGGCTCCGCTGAGCTCCGTCACCCTTGTGTCGCGTCCTCTGCGTCCCACCTCCTGCACGCCTGGCAGCTCCGCCCGTGCCCTCAGCCTGGCAAGGACACTGTCCGACCAGCAGTCCCGGGGCCGACTCCAACAGAAAAGGGCTGACGCGACTCCAGAATTCAGGGCGCCCCACGCCCCCCCACAAGGGAACAAAGGCGGCCCAGCCGGCCAGGATCCACTCCTCACTCCTCCAAGCTTGGACAGGCGGGGCCCTGGGGCCTAGGACTTGCTCTCGTGGGCCACCTCTCCCTCCCTTTCTGGAGGAGGCCCTGGGCCTGCGTGGGAGTGAAGGCTGACCTCGTGCTGCCTGCTGGGGCCCAGCCCTCCCTGCGACTCCCCTGCAGCCCAGTCCTGCACGGGAGCACAGAGCCAGGGACAGGCCACCACCCGGCTGCACGGCGAGGTTGGGAGTCACGGTGCTACGGGTCTGGAAGGCCCCAGCCTGCAGGGACCCACGGGAAGAGCAAGGGATGGGGGAAGGCCTGGGTCAGTCCCACTGCAGGGGGGCGGTCGGCCCGCAGCCCTCCCCTGCCCCCTGGGCAGGGGTGGAGGTGGCAGGAACAGCGGGGGAAGCAGAGCTACCCACAGAGCCGCGGAGGGCAGACGGCAGGGAGGAGCCCTGGTGAGGCCGGGAGAGCTGGAGTGGGGAAGCAGCAAAAAAACACACAAAAAAACAGGCTCCCAACATGGCTCCACTGTCTCATGAAACGTCAAAAATTAAAAAATACACCTCACTTTATATTCAGCATCAGCTACTGAAGCTCTCGAAATGGAATCCTCCTTTTCTATTCCTGTTGTACATAGCCCCGCCCGCCCCCAGCTCTGTCCTCCGCCCCTCTGCTGGTCCGGACCCTTTTCTTGCAGCAGCTGGAACCTCCCCCGGACCCAGACCCCCAGGACTGCAGCCGAGCCCTAGGCTTCCTTTCTTACCATTCTGTATGCTTCCAAGGTGTGACCATTCAGATTAACAGTATTATTATTAAGATTATTAATAAAGATTTCTTTCTTCAAACCAGGACAACTCTTTATGATTTGGCAGCTCCCGGGCACCGCGGGTGGAGGGTGCCCGAAGACCAGGGCGCAGGGTGGGGCCAGGACAGGACGAAGCCCCATCCCCGCCCGAAGCCAGGTGGCCATGGGCGAGTCAGAAGTCCCTTCTAGGCAAGAGACTTTGAAGTCCCCATCCTCCCGGCCAGACTGGTCCTCTACACCTGCCCCAGGACAGACTGGACAGGTGGAAGCTCATGTGAGCTGGCCTTGATGCCCCCGTGGGCTCCGAAGTCGAGGCTGGCCTCAGTGCCTCTCCTGGTCACTGCACAGTGTGACTTCACTGGAGCAGAGTGCACCCAGGAGGCAGAAGAGTTAGACCACGTGACCCCACAGCTATCCCACAGCTGTGCCTGGCCAACTGAATGCAAGCAAGGGACAGAGCTGGGAAGGTGGGGGACGTGAACGGCTGTAGAGGCATATGGGGCTGGCACTCAGTCTGGTTCTGCAGCTGTGGTTGGGTCGGAGCCGTACACCCATGAGGAGCCATGTTACTTAAGGTAAACCCATGTCTCAGCTCCGTTCCAAGTCCTCACTCCTGAGAGTGGGCAGAAGCCAAAGCAGAGCTGAAAGGGGTCACTGAGGAGCGTGAGGAGGGGAAGGGAAGGGGGACGGCAAGACCCAAGCGGAGAGCTCAGGAGCCTGGGCCGGGTGCTGGACGGGAGCGGCAGTTCAAGACCGAGCGGTGCTGCCCACATCCATCCCACCAAGACTCGACTTCATTTTTCACAATGTCGGAGAATTTATTTCAGAGTGATTACACCCAGCAGAGGGGCGCAGGCGTAAATGCCGCATATTCATTTTCCTGCTCGTTGTGGGTTGGGGCCCTTGCTCTCGGGAGTGGGTGGTGTGATTCTGCTGCACGCTACGCTCTGCTAAGCCCCTTACTCCTAATTGCTTGCTCACCAGACTGTGAGAAAATAATTGCCACTATAAATTCTCCCTCCTCCTCTGCATAAACTATTTGGGGGAACCAGCACTTTAAAAAGATTTCATGAAATACGGGCAGCGGGATATTCACACTGCACACCTGTCCGCCGACTCCCACCGCTGAGAACACAGGGCACAGGCCAGGAGCCCCCCACCCAGTTGCCCTGGCTCAGAATGCGGGGGAGAGGTTCAGAGGGTTCCAGGGAACCTTCACGACTGAAAAAATAGTCAAGTGAGTAGCTCCAGGCAGAAGCGCCTCGCATTCAACCCACCCCACCCCAGAACCATCCACGACTGTTCCCAACTGGAGCCATCAGCAGAGGGAACTTTCTGCCCCATATCCTCAGCAAACTTATTTCTCCTGAGACCAAGAGCTGCTGTCTGGGCCACAGGCGAGACATGGAAGAATGTCCCCAATTAGAAAAAAGTTGAACCCCTTAATCCCAGGGCACAGGAGCACCCAGGAGAGCAGAAAGATGGAGAGAGGCAGGTGATTCCCAGGCAAGTCCGACACCCCAGGATGCAGGAACGAGTGTGGCTGGACTGCCACTTGGCGGCCTCTCCCCTCACTACACAGCAAGAGAGCCCGCGGATGCCACCCTTAGGTGTGACCTCGAGCTGGAGTCATGGAACTTCCTGGACCTCAGCATCACCCCACATCATGCAGCACAGAAAGGAACAGAAGGAATGGGCAGGTAACCCCACCATTGGCCCACGTGGCCTGGGCGTGAAACCCCCAAGGTTGAGACTTCAGGCCTTGGACCCTGTCAAAGGATCACAACAGACCCCGCCCACACAGGTGCTCTGGGGAGAGCCAGGAGACTAGCAGGACAACCTCAGGCTGTGAAGTAACCCAAGGCCATGGGGTCTGGAGACCAGCTCAGGAAGCCCCCAGGGCGGCCAAGGTGTCAGCAGGGAGCTGTGTGGCTGCAGAGGCCTGGGCAGAGTGGGAAGGAGGGCAGAGACGCTAAGGGACAGAGGAAGGGGCCTGGGGCAGAGGGGCCCTGGCTCCTGCATGCCTCCATGCACCTGTACCAACGCCTACCCAAGGGGCCAACCAGGAGGGCGCCCCAGTCCTTGGGCAAGGCTGAGAAGGAAGGATGTGAAGGAACAAGAGGACTGGAAGAGCCCCCGCAGGGTCCCGAATCTCCCACATAGGCTGCGGGCTAGGCTGGAGTCAGGAGCAGGGTGCCGCTTTCCTGACTGGCCTTAGCTGGAGCCTAAGGGCGGCTGCCCGGGAGCCCACGGCCTCTCACTGGACACTGGCAGGGCAGGGCCCACATGCACAGCCTAAGGGCGGCTGCCCGGGAGCCCTCGGCCTCTCACTGGACACTGGCAGGGCAGGGCCCACATGCACGCTGTAGGCACGCGGGAAAGCCTCAGCACAAGCTCTCCCGCGTGCCTACAGCGTGGAAGAGAAGCAGCAGAGCTGGAGCTGACAAGCGCGCTCCAGAAATGACTTCAGGCTCACAGGGACAGTACGTTGCCAACCTGGAAATGCGAGGTGGTCTGGATTGCAGCTGGCCCACCCTGCAAAGGTGGTGCGATGCCAGCCCCAGCCTGCCTCTGAGTTCCAATCCGAAGGGGAAGAGGGTCTTTGGCCTCCCAGGGCACCACCTCCCGCCACCCGCAGGCAGCCTGCTGTTTCTGCCCCCACCCTCCGTGGGCCACCACGACTCAGTCGTCATCCTGGGAACGCCTGTTGGGCCGGCTCCACAATTTAAGCTCCTGACTGCTTGATCTGCAGGGGGAAAAGGTCACCCTTCTCAGCATCAACATATTTCAGCCTATCAGGAAATACCCTTTATGGATTTTCTGGACTAAACTTCCCAGATCCTTCCATTTTTACCTGGGAACCATATACTGTGGAGAGGGATCAGACAAATACAGGGCTCGTTCATTTATCTTGGAATCAACTCTGCAAACTGACTTCTTGGTCCTCCGATGACCTGTTTCCCACGGAAAAGCCAGGGGACCCAGCGTCCTGAGGAGCAAGGTCTTCTACCCCAGCCCTCAGGGCCTGGGACTTGCAGCCACTGCCCGTACTTGGTGGCCCCAGCACAGGCCCCAGGTAGCCAGCCAGGAAGGACCTCAGCCCAAAGGCAGGAGACAGCTGTGCTTTAATGTCCGCTCACGCAGGGGCTGAGTAGAGCAGGGCCACCCTGCCCCACTCAGCCTGAGGTACCAGAAGCCCCTCCTTGGGGACAGGCTCCACCAGGAACTCCACACGACCATCCTGGCCATCCGCAGTGGCATCCACCAGCAGGTCCACTATCCGGTACTGGTTGGCAAAAGCCAGGCCCAGGAACATGGGCTTCTCTGGCCTTGACGGCTCCCTGCCGGGAAAGTCACCTCTTGCCATTCCCTGGCAGTGGACTCGGAAGCAGCGGACTTGGGAAAGGAGGTAGGACCAGTGCAGGGTACAGCTGAGCTGGAGTCGGGCAGGGGAGCCCTCTGTCTCAGAGGCAGCCTGCTGCCAGCGGACACGAGAAACGGTGATGGCCTGCACCTGGGGCAGTGGAGTCAGCAGGCTAACGGCATCCACCACCTGACGAGGGAGAGAAGGCTCAGCACAGCCAGTCCAGGGCACAGGAGAGGCCACCCCTACCCACACACTTCCACTCCTGACTCCTTCCAATTCCCCACTAAACCGAAAAAGGAAGCAGCCTCCAGGCAGCCGTCCAACCCCTCTCCCGCTAGAAGGACTTCACAGCCTGAGCCCTTCCGGGGACATGTCACCTGGATCTCTCCTAGGCGACAGACGAAGCTCTCCTCCTCCCGGGTGCCCGGCGGCCGTGAGAAGCTAATGAAGAGGTCCTGCAGAAGGCACCCGCGCAGGCTCACCTCATAGCAGCTAGGAGAGGAGGACAGGCTGGCCACAGGCTCGGTTCAGGGGCTTCGAGGCCAGCTGTCAGAGGCCCAAGCCACAGCAGCAGGGAGATCATCCCGGAACATCCCCCAGGTCAGGGCAATGGCCAGGCCTAAGGCAGGCTCCCAGCGAGCTGCCCCAAATCCAGGAGGCCAGCCCAGGGCCCCCCCATCCTTCTAGTTCTGAGGTTTCTCAGTAAGGGGACCCTCACTCCGCAGGTCCCCTCCTCAGTGTGGCCATCCCCTGCTGGCCACGCCACAGGAGAAAGACAGACTTACCGCTGGACCCAGCCCCCGCTCAGCGGCTGACCACAGCGGCCTGCCCATCTGGCCAGCTTGGTGGGGGGCAGCCGGAGGGGTCGAGGGCTGTGTCTTGAGCTTGTTTCTGCTGGAAGAGGAGACGGGGAACTTGAGAAAGGAGAATCTCCAAGGAAAAGGCACTGGGAGGGACCACCGAGGGAGCCTGGGAGTCCAGAGAAGACCCCCTGGTCTCACTCATCCTAGCTTCCTCCAACTTGCCATGGCCTTGACCCCGTTTACATGCTCCCCGCAATGCCATGGCCAGCAGGAAGCCCACGTGCAACTTGGAGCTCTGTGGAACCCACGTCCAACCCGCACAGGAGCTGCCACTGCCCGGTGAGGTCACAGGGCAGAGACTGTGGCTGAGAAGTGACTCCGCCCTGTCCAGGCCTTGACCGCAAGCTGTTCTGACTTTAGCCAAGGCAGGATCTGCCCCCACACTGGCCACACCAGCTCCCCCGACACCCCGTGAGCCTTCCCACCATTCTCTCCCAAAACTCTCCCCCAGAGAAGACATGGGGTCCCCATGTCCTCACCATTCAACACTGAGATGCCACCGATGTGACAGCTGCCAGCATCCTCTGTGGTCAGCTCCAAAGCAACCCTGACATCCGTAGGCCCCTCAAGCTTATATACCAGAGACAGGAAAAGTTTGGGTGGCACCGGGACCTGCAGGGAAAATAACCTGGACAAGAAAGATCCCACGATGAGACGCCACGGAGAAACTCTAGAAACTCCGCTGAGAAATGGAGCCAGCTTCAAATCCACTCAGAGCCTCTCCCTCCAGGAGCAGGGAGTCTGCACAGCAGAAGCTTCCTCGTGCTGGTCCTGCCCACAGCTAGAGGACAGGTCTTCCCCCAGGTCAGATTTTTCAAGGGCTGAGAAAACCTCAGTTCTGAAGTACTACTTGATGCCACTCCTGTGAGGCATCTAAAGTGGGCAAACTCACACCCGCAGAGTGTAAGGGCCATTGTGGGGCTGGAGCCGGGGGTGGGCGTGCTTATTCAGGGGGTAAGGTTTCCGTTTTCTAGATGACAAAGCTCTAGAGACCTGCTGCCCAGCAACATACATACAGTGAACCCTCTCGTGCTACACACTTAAACATGGCGAATTTTGTGTTGTGTGTTTTTGACCACAACTTAAAAGCCAATCTGGGTCTGTCCTCTGTCCTCACTCTAGCCCAGTTCCACGACTACTACGGACGACAGGAGAAGCTGGTAGGCCCCACATTCCCCCATCACTCACCCACCTCACGGCCACATTTCCAACCTCAGGCGGGATCGCCCCCCGGAGAAGCAGGGAGCTGCCCCCGTGCCAGGCGTCCGCCAGACAGCAGTGCGTCTTCACCCAGCCCTGTCCATGCCCTCCCAGCCTGTGTTCACCAAACAAGGGCTGGATCTCCTGGGCACTTGGGTGGTACCAGGGCCCCACCGCCTCCTCCTGAACAAAAGGGCAGAATGGGGGCTCAGTGGAGGCCAGCAGAGCAGGTGGGAGTGACAGGGAAGGCAAGGCCGCCATTGTTCCTGCTGGCACCCCCAAGGCCCCTCCGCCCCAGCTGAGGCCAGAGGACAGACAGAGGGAAGGCAGCCCCTCTGCCACCATGCGGCACCTTCCCCGCCCCGTTCACCTGGCCATAGTAGACTCGTCGTGTTCCCATGCCCAGGCAGAAGGTCGTGACAAAGGGCAAGGCGCAGATGCTATGTGTGGGCAGATGGCGCTCCAGCAGCCGCCAGAACCTGCCGGTCAGACACATGCAGGCACAGCTTAGGCCAGAGCAAAGGGGCCTCTGCTGTCCCTTGAACACTCTGGTTGAAACTCGAGGTTTTCCTGCACCCTCCAAGACAGGCCTTCTGGAATGACTCTCCCAGCAACGGACATGCCAGAGATGCCGGTCTGCGGGAAGTAGTCACTTGGGGTTGGTTCCCTACCTGGGAGCAGCCAGAGAGGCTAGTTTCTCCACCCTCATCCTCCCTCAGCCACCCCCCTGATAGAAGCATCACTGGAGAGCAAGAACATGAGCTACCGTGACCAGACGCCAGAGAAACCACCAAGATGCCCCCCTCCTGTCAGCCCGCACTAAGCGCCAAGGACGGCAGGACTCACTTGTCCTGGTTCTGGAGGAAATCTGTCTTCTCCAAACACTCGTACACCCAGCCAGGGGCAAACAGAGCCGCAGAGAACCCATGCTTTCGGATTAGCTCCAGCGACTGGGGAGACAGGGGAGTCAGGGAGATGCCTCCCACCCCAGCAATGCTGAGCACACCAGGGCCACAGTCAGATCCAGACAGGCTCCTGGACACCAGCAACACAGTGGGGCAGGGTCGGTTCTCGGAAAGGGGAGGCGGAAACTGTCCACACCCCAACTGCCACGACACATGGGGGCCTGTGGGCTACATCTCCTGTAGTTCCTCAAGCCGGCAGAAGAGGGCGCAGGAGAGGCGCTGTCCCATCTCCCTCTCACATACACCTCGCATTAAATCATCAAAATCGCAGGGGGTAAAGAGAATCTTCAGTTATTGGATTAACTTATTCATTTGAAGCATAATTAATGACTGAGAACACCTCAGTGGCTCCAGGAGTGGGCAGGACTGACAGGCCAGGAGACAGATGGATCCCCGTTCATCCCACACCAGGGACCTCGGGCCCCAGCACTTGCCTCCTTGCTCAGTGCTGACGTGACCTGCCTTGCCAGAAAACTCTCACTTCTCATTACACTGATAGTTTCCAAACCCTGAGCTTCATGAGAGAAGCGCTGCAGGACCCCTCTGCCTCCCCTACGTCCATCCTGGTGGGGTACAGGTTAGTTCAGCACTCGTCAAAGAATGCAGTCCAGAAAGGAAGCTGAAGCTAGCTAGACATGAGACAGCCACTGAAACAGGACACTTTTGTCCACTAACACCCGACATAAAAATATAGCATCTGATTGTAGAAATGACCAGAAGTGAGGATTTTAGTTGGGACACAGTTTGGCCTCGGGGCAGGATACTGTTTCTCGGTGCCTCGGTTTCCCCACTCTGGGAAGAACAGCTGCCACCTGTCTTTCCCTCGAGGTACCGATGGGAACAGGTCAAGGAAATGAGGCCAAGGAAACCAGGCCAGGGAAGGCACGCAGGCCACTGGCCCTCTGGCACAGAGGCCACCACCCACCTTGTCAGTGTCAAATCGGCCTCCGACCACGTTCCCCCGAGCAAATACGTCCACGCCCACATACACATCAGCCAGGCGCTCCCCAGCCTGGCCCAGCATCCGCTCCAGGTGCTCCTCCCGCCAGTTGTAGTTGGTGAAGAAGCCATCACAGGAGTCAAAGAAGACCCTGAGAGGTAGCAAGGACCTGCCGTGAGGCCTGGGCCCAGAGATGTGGGGCCACCCCACAGTCCACCTTCCCCACACCCCCCCACCCCTAGTGCTCAGAGCCACTCAACACGCAGGCTGGGGGCTGCCTCCAGGACCCCAGATGGAGCCTGCCACCAAAGAGCAGAGGCCATTCCACAGGCCGTTGCCTGTAACTCTGGGCACAGCGCTGGGATAATTAGGCACTAATGGTATCTGCTGATGACACCATTAGTAGATAACTCTTTGCATTCTGCCTCTTCCCTCTTTTTGCCCAAAGCAGTCCTACACATGCTGCTTCCATGAGGCACCCAGCACCCACTCCCTTGTGGCACCTGCCCTGCAAGCTCACCTGTTCTGCTCATTGAGTTCATCTTGCCATTTGAGCTGCCCACTCTGTACCACACTGTCATACCAGAGCACCAGGCCCCCTGGGACCTGCTGATGAAGCTGCGCAGTCAGGTACTGAAGGAAGCGAGGTGTGTTGCCCACGGCAGTCGGCTGGGGGAGAGGAACGAGGATGAGACCCTGAATGAGGGTCCATCTGTCGTGAGAAGCATCCAGCACAGGACAGACAGAAGAACACAAGAGTAAACAGATGCACAAAGTCACAGTCCTGAAAGCCCCTCCACCCCACGGTCACCAAGAGAAGGGTCTAGCCAAATGCACTACTTTTCTTTCTTGCTGCCGCAGCAAGGGCATAAACACAGAAGTCAGGAAAGACAGGATGCCCTGAAAGGGGAGGGCGGTCATGAGAAGGAAGCCACACGCCCAGCTCAAGCCAAGCAGAGGTGGGGAAAAGGAAGGGTATGGTCACCCTGCAGGAGCCCAGTCAAGCACACTTTTATTTACCACACCATGAAGTAAATAAAATTTCAGAGTCAGCTCTGTTTGGGAGGTGAGAAATGACTCCTACTGTTGTAACTTGCAGCCCAGGTGCAGGGCAAAGTGAGGCCAAGGAAAGGGGTAAAGGTGGAAGGCATAGCCACAAGGAGCTGGGGGAGTGTGTGCCGAGCACTCACACTCAGCGAGTTCTCGATGTTGATCAGCCAGCCGTCGAAATGAAAAAACTGAGCGATCTGGACCAGCCGGTCAGCCACTGCCTGGTACGAGTGCTCGTCCCCAGCCAGGAAAGCTTCGCAGAGCTTACCCCCTTCATTCCACTCCGTGATGAAAGTCCCTGCGAGGACAAGGGAGAAACAAGGTCAGCTGCAGGAATCACTTGCCCTCTGACTCAGTGGTTTGCAAAGTGGGGTTCTTGGACCAACAGCATCAGTGTCCCCTGAAAACTTGGTAGACAGCAATATTCTTGGGCCCCTCCCCAGTTATCTAGTGAATCAGACATGCTGGGGGCGGGAACAGCAATCACAGTTATGGAGTCCACACGTGATTTGGATTCAGGCTAAAGCTTGAGTACTATTCTCACCCAGGGTTGGCACACCATGGCCCTTGAGCCAAAGCCAGCTGCCACCTGTGTCTGTATTACAATTTTGTTGTAACACAATCTTGCCTGTTTGTTTACCTGCTTCCATGCTAGTAGTTACCACAGTGACCCAGTGGCCCACAAAGTTGAAAACATTCACTATTGGGTCCTTTCCAGAAAAAGTCCATCCTAAGCTATGGAGGCAGCCCCCTACAAGGAGCTCCACTCACTGAGGAGCAGATAAAGCTCGAGCCTTTTAATCACTGGGTCACCGGACGGGTGTACTAAGGAGTCTGGATGAGGTGGAGACAAGTCCTCTGCTCTTACCCAGCACGCAGACCCCGTGCCTGTGGGCGATGTTGGTCCAGCCTACGGGAGGGATGGTGACGGTGTGATGGCTGAAGTACACGAAGATGTCAATGTACTGCCAGTGGTAGAAGGAATAGGGGTTCTGCACCACTGAACCCTGAATAAACCTGGGAAAGAAACAGAACAAAGTCAGGTCCCAGGAAACAGAAACAACAACCTCAAGGAGAAAAGAGGGCAACCCCAAAGGCGGGTTCTCTAGTTCCAGTCAGCCAACTCTCACTAAAAGTCTGCTGTATCCAGATACCACTCAGGTAGAGAGAGGTGGGAACAAGCCACCATTCTTGCTGCCAGAAGGAAAACGTTTTTATCAGGTCTTTGCCTTGGCTCCGGATGGACCTAGTATTCTTAGCCTCAGTGAGTAATAGATGAACGAAGGAGAAAAAGAGGGAAAACAGAGGGCTCGTATCAAAGCTCCTAGTCTCTGGCTTCCCGATCTATTCAGAGATGTAAGCGGTCTCTTAGGACACCATTCCCTGCATGTGAAGGTCGAGACTTGACAGCCATGTGAGCTGTGCCCAAGGTTTCATCTCTGCCTCTGTCTCTACTTTAATGGCTACCTCTGAGTCAAGCCCACCTGTCAGTCACAGTATCCAAGATTGTTTTACGGGCGTTTAAAAGCTCTAAACTGGCTCCACAGCAACTCTGGATGGAGTAGGTGGGAGAGGGTGGGGCGTGTGGCAGAAGCATCAGAAGCCAGAGCCAAGTGACCTAGAACAGCATCAGAGCTCAAGTAAAGAAGGTTATGAAAACAAGCAGGTGAAGAAATGAGGTTCTGGGCCAGACTGTGCAAAGAGGATGCCCTACTGGCTTCAAGTGGAGGAATCAAATCGTCTGAGAGCTGAAAGGGACATGAGTTGTCACCTAACCCAGTCCTCTCTTTTCACAGATGAAACGCGAAGGCCTGCCTTTCCCTCCAGGCTAGTGCACAGTCCGGTCTAGACGCCTGTCTCCCGACCCCCCATCCCATGCTCCTTCTGCACGTGGCACTCTCCCCTGCCCCCCAGAGAAAAACAAGCCCCAGAAGCAGCGTGAAGGCCAGGTCCTCACTTGTCATCCAGATACCCGCCCATCATGTCGTGGCACAGCAAGGTCCGGGGCCTCAGGCTGCTCAGGGGGGGCTGGCGCCGCGCCAAGGGCTCCAGAGCCACGTTAAAGCCATCCTCCACGTGGGGCACCCAGGCCAAGAGCTCCTCCAGTGAAGAAAGGTAAAAGCTGACAGGTTTGGTAGTGTCCTTGTCATAATATCTAACTGGTCCAAGGAGGGAAACATTGAAGAATTAATGGCAATTATAATATTGATTTAAAAAAAAAACTTTGATGGTAACTGAGAAAACATGGGGAGGAGTGGGGGCAACATGCCCTGAAGCCCCAGGAGTGAAGATGGAAACAGTATTCAGAGCCTCAGTCTCCTCACCTGGCAAAGGATCCGGAGTAAAACTGACCACTTCTCGAAAGACTGCTTCTTCTTCATCTTCTTTGATTCTAAGCAAAGAGGGAGTTTTACATTTTAAAATAAATAAATAAAGGGTAAAGACCACTTAGAAGCAAATGGACTAAGTTTCACCTAGACATGGAGGGAGAGATGTCCTCTGGCTTATAGTCTCTAACATAAACTATAGAAACACAGCCGGGCTCGGTGGCTCAGCCTGTAATCCTGCGCTTTGGGAGACCGAGGTGAGTGGATTGCCTGAGCCCACGGGTTCGAGACCCGCCTGGGCAACTTGGCGAGATCTCATCTCTACAATAAATCAAAAAAATCAGG